TTAGCAAGTTCATAAAATTTTTCACGTGCACAATCATTGATAATAGGATGAGAATAAGTAGATTGTTGTAATGTCATTGTTGATATTGCAAAAGAAAATATCGAAACTTATTTAACACACAATGAATTTTGTCTATGGAAATGAAAGATACTGGTAGTTAGGTGATATAAAATAATTATGAACAGAGAACGAATTCTACCTAGTCAAAATTGAATTTGATAGAAGCGCCAAAAAAAACCAATTTTGTCTGTAACAAATACATTAAACGCGATTGAAAATTATTCAATAAATTTGCAACTGATTTTTGAAGATGTTAATTCTTTTTGTATAGCTATGCAATATATAAGTGCAGTACAAAGTGTATGTGTAGCGCTGCTTATTGGCTGAAAAGTAGTAAGCAATAAAATTTCAGGTTGAATCTTTAGGATTGCTTAGTGATTTAAAATTAATATAGCAATGATTGCATATAGTGTTCTTTTCATTTTTCATATTTAAATTTTCCATTATCAACAAGACATTTTTATCTGTTATAATGTACGACATCTATAGAATAAATCTATACTGTCCTTTAATAGTAAAAAAAAAACTAGTGGAAAATAGGCAAAAAGCTGTCAGTCCGGTCTCAAGTATGACTCACCAACACCTTTCGTACTCTTTCTATCTTGATCACGTTTTTTCGTCCTTAACTAAAAATCGGTTCTTCACGTGTTTTTGATATTCTCCGCTTCTTTCGTCTCTTCACGCTTCAATACGCTCCTTCTTTTCCTTTTTTTTTACTTAACAACACTATCTTTTAATATGTTGCACGTTTCATTGTGCAAGTATCATCGATTGTATTGTGACGAGTTTTATTGAACAGAACTTTTTTGAATAAATGATTCACGTTCTTACGAATTATAAACTTTAGCCAAATTCCGTCGTAAATGAATGAGAAATGAGAACACAACAAATAAACTGGTTTTTGGTTTCATTCTTTTTCTCGTTCGACTTAGATCATAATTGCCTTTTGCGTATATTAAAAATTGTGAATTAGTAATATACTATGACTAATTATGTACATGAGAGGTGCAGATAATGTCTGAAATAAATTATCAACATTATCATGTCAATATATTTCATTTTCGAATTTGATCTTTTTGTTAATGATTATTTTCTTGATCATTTTGAACTGATCAATAGTTTTCATACAGGCTGTACTTGGTAAGTCAAATCAAGTGTAATATTTTAGAGACCATTATCGTTTTCCGATCAGTGCGCTCTCGCTCTTCTTTAACAGACATTCATCTAAATGACGAAAATGAATCAATTTCGTTCGTAATAGTCTTATTTTTCTTGAACTGTTGAAATCATAAAATTTCACTCTTATTTTACGTACTGTTCTAGTGATCGTTTATATTGATTGATGTATCAATTGTCTTAGGAAGCGCAGTAGATGTCATGTTTCGATACTATATGCTTATATGGTGAGTCATATTTATATGGAATATTGATGAATGCCCTCGAAAACAGTATGGCGATTACATATATACTCGACAACCACTTGCACTCATGTGTTGGTAAACACTAAAAAACCAAACTGGTCGTCGAATGATTGCGACAAATTTATCGCATTACGACGATATTCAATGAGCCATTTATTGGCTATTACTACTACTCTTACAGAAAGGTAGACATGCTCTGTTTCTTTGAAGAAACTCAACCAAATTGTTTATATATTGTAAAACAGCTTCAGTTGGTTGATACTCTTGTCAACAACCTGAGACGAGTAATCGGCTAGGTTCCTCTAGCCAAATTGTGTGAAGCATTTGTACTTCAGATGGAAATTATCCAATCGGATTCAAAGTCTTAACGATAATTTCTAGCAGTTGACTTCGGATGGAATCAAATCATCGGTATCCGAAAATCGAAAGTTGCTGAATCTTATACGATTCTGTGGTAGGAAAGTATCTGTTGTGAACAGCGTATATCAATGGCCTATTTATCATATGTCTGTCTTTCAGGTAAATATGCATAGAGATCATGCTCAATCCGATAACCTTGCATATATTCTATTTTCGTACGAGACGTAGCGTTTTACATTTGAATGTTTCCATAGCAATAGTCTCTTTTTTCCAACGAAAGCTCTCATCCATCTATTACCACGTTTTTATCTTATATAAAGCTAAAAATGGAATAATTGGAAGTTCGAATTAGTTTTTAGGTATCATTCATGATGCTCTCTCTCAGCGCGACACGAGAGAAGGAAAAGTAATTTATAGGACTTCGACAAAACTCAAAAGAAAACAATTTGAAACCTTCAAAGTGCAAGACCCACCGACTCGTTACAGATACACAACAACCAACGAGCTGGTAATGTTCAGCACGATGACTATTATCGCATCAGTATGGAATATCATAAAGCATAGAAAACTCAACAAAAGAGATTTTCCCGATAAAGATCGAACATCGTCGCGAGACAATACAAACACGTTACTCTCACGAGAGATGCGGTAATGGTATTCGGTCACGAGCCTCAAACTTCTTCAGTGATAGTACAAAGATTTCCTTACATGAAACGTAGGAACCAAGGTTAAGAAGAGGAATCAAAACGAAAATCAGTTAATCTCTCTTCGTCACAAATTAAGAAAGACATGAATGCTTAGAAATCGACTGAATTTAGTGTATCCTCTCCTTGTTTAAAAGGCTATGCCGATTTTCACGTGCAGCACTCTTTATCTAATGTTTCATTTGTACTCTGACACAGTTCTGTTCTCTTCTTCTTGTTCGAATGAAATCAAATAACATCGTTTCTTTCTCGTTTAGATCTTTCATAGTCAATCAATGCATTAATTCAACGGGTGAGTATCTTAAGAAATGATCAATTGGTATGGTCTCTTTCTTTTTAGACCGATTATCATCGATAGGTTCGTTCTTTCTAAGGATCAGTTCTCTTGAATATTGTCAACTAATGCTATTGTACTTTGACTTTCAGATTCGAGGTCATCGATGGATGAGTCGTGTCAACACGTGACTTTTCTTCAATATCAACAACTAAAAAGTGTTCTAAAAGTTTCGACCCCTCTCTGTAAATTGATGTTATCTATTTCAAATATATTTATAGTTAGTTTATTGAAATATAGAGTTTTGTAGAGAATAAGAAGTGCTATCATCTAAAAAAAAAAGGTTCAAATTGTGTCATAATTATAATCATTTTATTCATAATGACTAAGCATTTTACATCTTACATGTTTTGCAAAAATAAAATATGCTTGTAACGTCTGAAGCGGAATATCGTTTTCTAGATACTTTTATATGATTTGATAGAGTTCGAAAAGCTCTACAAGAATATGAATATCAAAAAAAAGTTCTGATCCTCTTTCCAATACAAAACTTGGACAAAACCAGAAAGAGATTAGTAAAAATCTCACATATCTTGCTTTAGAGAGAGTATACTGAACTTTCAATAATTTTAGCCGATCAACTGTTAATTTACGTTTCGAGTTGCAGTGTCACATAGTGAAGCTGAAAATAACCTTTCCAAGCTTTATGAACAGACAGAACAGTCGATGAGCTAAAGTTATTGAAAGTTCAGCATACTCTTTAATGCAAGATATGCGAGATTTTTACTAATCTTTCTGGTTTTGTCCAAGTTTTGTATTGAAAACAGCATCGGAATTTTTTTGGTATCTATATTCTTTTAGAGCTTTTCGAACTCTATCAAACCATACAAAAATACCTAGAAAACGATATTTCGCTTCAGATGTTACAAGCATATTTTGTTTTTGCAAAAAATGTAAGATGTAAAATGCTTAGTCACCATGAATAAAATGATCATATCTTTTCTTAAATATGACATACTTTGAACCATTTTTTTCAGATGATAGCTCTTCTCATTCTCTACAAAACTGTATATTTCAGTCGACTATCTATAGATATATTTGATATGGATAACGTCAATTTACAGAGAGGAATCGAAACTTTAGGAACACTCTTAAACACTCTTTCTTTTCTTTCAAATTCGTGATCGTCGATTGATAAAATTAGCAATTAAATAAAAACATCTCAATTTCAACGAAAGGAACTGAGAATAGTCGCTCATAGGATTCGTGCGATATGTGCAAGTGGAGAATACTGACGAGAGAACGATGGAGAAGAAGCTTGATACTAGGTGAAGAATCTGGATGAATGGATGAGGGTAATTCTTATGGTCAAGTCGATAAGATCTAACAGGATCCAAAGATTTCCGAAAATTTCTGACAGAAGCCGAACGTATGCCGGTTGTTTCCGATTATTGGATGTTGTCGGATTCAACTTTCAACAACTTCTGATAGAATCCTATTGAAATTTGTCGAGTTCTTCGTCCTGAGGAACTAAACAGGAAATTTGTTTTTGATCCTCTTATAAATTTTTATCACAACTGGTGGAATGTGAAATCGATTCAAAGAAGGTTAGGCTTGCAAAAGGCATCGACCGACCGGTAGTTAAACATGCCACTTAGGTACAATATTGTGTGCTGCTTTGCCGAAGTCCATAAACAAGTAAATGATGTGGTAAGTCTTCACTGCTAGGCTCATTCACGAACGGTTTTTTTTTTCATTCTACACTAAACCAATGCGAAAAATCAAATAAGACAAAAGTACCAATCGAGATTTCACTCTTTCATTTCGAACAAACTGTCTAACTATTCATTTGATGGATCCACCTCATCAAGCAACCAAATATTGTTCTCTTAGAACACGTAAAAACTTCAAATCTCGCTCAATGATTCTCATAGATAAATTCAAGTTCTTATGCATTCTTTTTGCTATGCAAGAGTCAGCTAAAAAAGTCAAAAACTACGGCGTTCAAAATAGGATTGATTTTACCGACAACACCTGTTTGTTTGAAAAATCACTTAACCTAAAAATATTGTGATTGATTTCTAGATAAAAATGTGGTCGAAATTTACTCAATTTCTTCAAGGACTGAAACGTTTTTCGGCACAAGAGAAAAGAAATATTTTTGTGTACATTATCGGTATCATGCTTTACAAATTTGGTTTAGAAGCTTTCAATGGATCGATTGTTACATTGGCGACGAATCGATATGATCAAGATGCTTCCAATGCAAATAAACCATCGCAAACATTTCAACGAATCGGCTTACTTGTTGGTCTCAATCAAGCATTTCAATGTGTCGGCTCCGTTCTTATTGCACCATTAGTTAGACGTTGGCCAACACGCACGGTTCTCTCTGGTTCAATCGTTACTTTTGCTATTTTTACAGCCATTTTAATGATTATTGATGGTGCTACTGGTGGACACATTAAGCCAGCAAATTTTACACCGAAACATAAGAATGATTTCAGTTATTATGGTCATTACAAAACAGATGTGATCATTGCGATTTATTGTGTTACTGGAATCGCTTATGGAATGGTCGAATTGATTCGACGCATCATTCCGCGAGATATTGTTGGTGGTGATGTAGAAAAATTACAAAGGATGGATTCACTAGTTCACGTTTTCTATGAAGTATCAGGCACTGCTGGAGCTTTTGCAACTGCTCTCGGGCTGATTCCTCGGCTAGGAAACAATTATGCATTTATCATTACACCAATTTGCTTCACGGCGAGTGGAATCGTTTGGTTTTTTCTCGGCTCTTTGACATTCTCTCGAGCTGAAAGTGAAGAATCCGATGAAAAAGAATCGAATTATGTCAAATCCATTTTGAAGAAAATTTTTCTCTTCGGAAAATCGGTTTATGTTGGTGGAAAACTTATTTTTACGAAACGCAAATTCATTTGGCTGTGGAGTGGTTACTCAGTAGCACTCTACGCTCATCGTTATCTTGAAAATGGTATAGCTCCACAAGTAGCAAAACGGTATATGGAAGATTCTGCCTGGTCACAAATTATTGTAGGTGGCTCAAATTTTGGTGAATTGATAGGTGCATTTGTCGTTTTCATTTGTGCCAGTTTTGTTCGTACACCAATGCCTTGGCTTCGCTTAGATGCAATTCTGCTAATGATTGTTTGGTATATTCCTTTCTACTATCCGCCACCACATGAGGTCAAATATGCCTGGATAATGGCCGCCACATTCATTCCGATCTCCTTTGGATGGGCTGCTGGTGATGTTTCACTCGGCGCTTATATTCAATCACAATTGACGGGTAGTGAAACCAACGACAAAAATATTTCACCGCTAGGTGCTGTCATGGCATTTCTCTACTCGTTCTACATCATTCTCTATGCTATTGCTAATCCATTGCTCGGAAAATACATTGATAGTGTTTATAATACTGAGGGCACTATTAGGCCCGCTCTGATCTATACAGTCGGTGTGCATTTTTCGATTGTATCAATCATGGTTTTTGCCTCAACATTTATCCCAAAAGGTTCGATTGCTCTCAACCCACGGATGCTCACTGAACAGAAGTCTGATAAAGTGGACATACCGGACCAAAAAGTGGATGATGTTGGTACAGTCGGAAATTCTACGGAACAACGTCCATCTTTGCAGGGCTTTGATGATATAATTACATATCTCTGAGTGATCATTTATTGTACAGATCAGAAAACAGTACGTTTTTGGTTTTTGTTACATAATAAACGAGCGAGGATTATTCTTCAATCATTATACATATATAACTACTTGACTTTCTCTTTTCTTTCTCTTCATTCTTTGTTTTCTGTATGTTCTTTTTCAATTTTGTCTTCTGTCAATAAATTGGCTCACTCTCTTTTATTTTAATTTAAGAATATATTTCATGTTCGTTTTCTCTTTTTCTGTTAACTTAATCCTTTCACGAGCGAATTTTGACGTCATTTTCTTTATCATGTAACTTAAATTTAAACTCGAATAACCAGAAATAAATTCTATCTATGCAGTATTATCGTTCTTTCTACCGAAGTCATTGTTTCCAATTTATATTATAGTTCTGTGATTAAAAATTTTAAAAAAAGTGCTACATATATGTGCCACCGCCCGTGAAAGGGTTAATTATATGAAACTTCCGTAACGTCATTACAATTTGTCTGACTCTCAATTCGTACGAATTACAGTTGTCCAAGTGTGCAAAGGAATGAAAAAGATCTAAATGAATTATTGTGGAAGTTCTATTCAATAGTTTTCTGGCGTAAAAGAACACCCTGCATCATCAGTGAACTTTTTGGTATATTATCAATGCAACGAGGCTTGTAACAAATTTTCAAGAATGTATTTCTTTTCACAGCTTCAAAATTCATCGTGGCAACGCATTCCAAATAGTTGAATTTGTTTGACTTTTCGCGTTGTGCTACCTTGGAATCGAAAATACTGCAACAAATTCTACGATGAAACTCGTGAGAATGCGTAGCTTATACAGACAATAGATTCTTGTTGGAACACACAGTTTTGGACAAATTGTACTATTTACTACGTGGTGTTAGATTGAAGAAAAATAGTTATTTTTTTCAGTGTGTTGCATGCATAGTTCAGACAGCTTGGATAGTCTCGACTTTTTACGAGCAACAACATTGAGAGAATCAATGTTGTTATAGCTTGAAGTCAGACAAAAATGAACAAACGTGTACAAAAGTACTCAGTTAATTTCTGTGCCTAAACAATGTCCTACACATCTATCTCCATAAGTTCAACTTGTGTTGATTGAAAATTACATTCGTTTCACGTAAAACAAATGATAATATCAACATATTCCCATGTACTTCATTTTCATAAATGAATAATTCATAAAGTGTATAATGCGAGAATATGTAAATGACGTTGAAAAAATTACATGTACAAAAAAAAAAGAAAGATAATTTCGACGTGAATAATCGATGATATGACGCATTCGATCAAAGTAAAATTGCCGCTTAAGGAAACTCAATATATTCTTTGCCGACAGCCATACTAACAGTTATTTTAATATTGACAATAGAGAAAATCTAAACGTCGATTTTTCTTATATAATATATTTTAAAGCTATGATTAGTGGGAATTTGCATTGTGTGCTCGTACTGTTATTCACGATACCATTAATATCTTTCTCGGATTCAAATCCGTCCACCATAGACCAGATTAAATCCAAATTTGATAAAGTCCAAATGGTCAACAAAATTATATATAGTTTTAATTTAACTGAAGCACGACAAGCGCTTTGTCCCATAGTCGGTTATCGAAATTCTCATTATTGTCCAGGCATAAATGAAACTGTTGATGGAAAAATAAAGGCTCGAATTACGCCTCTTCCAGCACTTCCACTACCACGAGGAGTAGGAATGACTATTGATATAAGTACAGGCTTTATAACGTTACCTGCTCTTGAATTAACTTATTCCGACGGAGCTGAGAATAAATAGATTGATCCATACTCAAAGCAATCATGTCGTATCCGAAGATCAAAATAAGCCAACAGTACGTGTATTCAAGACGGAAGTTGATTTAGTAAACGTGTGGACTCGTAATGCGGGTGGGTGGGTGTGGGTGCTAGTGATGAATCACCCGCACCCACACCCTACTGCAACTGGTGATTTGCACAGCATTGAATAACGTAGAAGCTAGCAGAGAGAAATCATTCTTTCTATCTCAAGGATTATGTTCAATCGACGTACACTGAGAAGAAACCTAAATAGCTGTAGAAAATATACTAGTGACATCTGTTTATAAATCTTCCAGCCTTGATAAAAAAATTAAGTTCTTATAGACTTTGTTTTCTCTCTCCATCCATTCTCTCCTGCAGCTTACTTCTAGATCAATCTTCAATCTCTTCATGATTATGTGTGTTCAGATTATGAGCAGGACTCTAGCTACCCTCTGACATCTCGATATGTTAAATCATTTGTGAATTTTTCATGCTATGTAAGTTGTTACTCTCTCAATTGAGATTGAGAACGAAACCTCACATTGAATCTGTTAGTGACAATTTTCAAAAAAAAACCGAATTAGTTTTTTAAACTAATTATATGTCTACTGCCGAAACAACATACCTTACCAAGCCTTCTATACTTAGGTTAACGATCACGAATAATATGTTCTTCAAACGTTTCGCAAGCTTTTGAATGAAGTGCTTTTCAAAAAAATCATTCTATTACTCTTCAACAATTTTCGATGTTGAGCTTGTGTACACACAAAAGTATCGGATACCCTAAAGTTTTAGGATATCCTGCATATGGAAAACAAAAAAAAGAAAGATTAATTATAAATATAAAGAACAGGAAAACAAATGAAATGAAATATATAATGTTAGTAGTAATTCAAGAGTATTTTTACATCATCTAGACTATAATTTGCAACGTCAGTATTCTTCTTTGAATTCAGCTAGCAAATTTTTTTTCTTTTGTCCTCTTGCTCTTCGTTCAATGCTGGTTCGATTAAACTTTTGTAAGGACGACAGCTAAGATTATCTCAAAGAATCTGCCGAACATTTGTTCGAGATGTTTCTAATTCAAGAGCGAGTTTTCGACTTGATACCTTTGTTTTTTTGTGCAACTTCCGTTTAACCTTGTTGAATCATTTTGTACCGTCTTTTAACAGTTGCTAAACCGAGTATATCGTTCAAATCACGAAATATTTTCGTCAGATAGTCACCATTCTAATGTTTCGAAAGCACTACTTTTTGAAAATCTTTGCTCGTCATTGTTGCAAATCAGTTTATCTTACGCAAAACATATTTAAAAAAAACTCAAAATAATTTCGAGATAATTTTCCATGCTTTATCAACAAACACTATTTGTCACCTAATAGTCTCAATCTCGAAGAACAACAATGATTCAACAATTAAAATGTTCTATGAAAAAAAAAAACTCGACCGAATGTTGTTTTTGAAAGTTGCTCATCTTGGACATATCGATTGTATCATATGTTACAATATAACGGAGACTATTTAAGATAATAAAAATACTTGCATTTTGTAGAAAATTGAACAAGGCAAGAAATTTTTTTCTATGTTGAAATATAAGTAACATATACTCAAAATACTGAGAGGCTCATTCTTTATAGCCCACCAATTACAAGTGCGTAACGAAGTTTATGCGCTTTGACAATAGTAATTGATAATTTGTTAGACGAACAATATGCATTTAATACAAAAGAAAAAAAAATTGAAACATTTTAAAACTGTGCTTAAAGTACTGTTTCTGTTACATGTCGTCTTGCATTTTGTTGATTAAGTTTTGTGACAGTCTTCAATATGGAATTATTTGACTGAGATACTTGCCATCGTTGCTGCAGATGATAAGGCAATAGTTTGATCAACGCTTTTATGAATGTTCGTCGAAATACACGTGATGTTAATATTGATAGATAAAATGATTTGATATTGTTCAAATAGAAACAGTAATTTGTAAGCCAATAGACAAAATTAATAATAACTCGTTGTTCAGAGGTTCTACTGTTGACAGGAATATAATAATACATATACATAATCGACCATTGTAATGTAATGAAAGCTGTAACTAGAACTTGTGTGATGATCATAGTGATGAATTGTTTTCTAGGAGAATTTGACTGTGTCCTTGTTGTTCCATGCTAAAATAAATGATCATTATCTATTTTCAGAAAGAATTAATAAACTTACTACTCGTTGACGACTTTGATGAACATTTCGAAAAGTGAGCAAGACAAACACCAGCATTATCGTTGGTTGCATAAGACATTGAACCACAATATACAATATATTATTGATCAGTGGATATGTGACTACACATCCTGAACCACTTTTATACTCATAAAGAATAAGTCCACGAAGTGAAGCGAGACAACTCGAGATAATAGTAATAACAATCAACCATGGTGCCATTTTAAGTTTATTGAGACGATGTATGGGTGACGTCAATTTACATGTGCAAGCATATCGATCAATAGTAGACATCAACAAAAAATTAATTGACAAATGAGGAAGAAATCCAAGCATAAAAATATAGAACTTGCACAGATTAGGTATTCTTATCCATGGAATATATACTCTATATTTTGAATTCAGATAGAGTGGCAATGTATTGAAAAGAAGAACGGTAGCATCCATGATAGAACTAAAGAGTAAATATATACAACATGTATTCGACCGAAGTTCAGCTTGAGTAAATGTTAAAACATTGCCTATGAATCCGATCAAACCAAGAACAACGAATATTAATGGAAGATGACTCACAAATTGTTCCATCAAAAGATTGAGAATCATGATTGTGTTTGTTACTTCTGTTGAATTAACTATAGCTGTTGTGTTGTTCAATGACATTTTAATGGATTAATGTTAAAAAAATGACTACATAACACTGCTATATGATATAGCTCTCGTATTTATACTAAATCATTTTTGGTTTTCTTCTTCCATAGTCGCTTAAGGCTTGGATGACCGTAAAATGAAGTTAAAAAAAAAGGGAAAAGGAAGACAATGACGTACATACATGATTGTGAATTCATATAACTTAGGAGATTATTACTCTAATATTTTATGAAATGGATTCTTTGACAAAATGAGTTTTATTAAAAGAAAACAAAAAACAAAATTAATTAAACTTGACCATTCTTTTGAGAGAAAAATGAAACTATTTATTTAGGTGTTAATAAAATTCGATTACATAAATATAGAACGAAGAAATTATTCCTATTAACAATTTTGTATGTGTGGCTAAAAATAGTGGAGGTAACTCAAACCTTTCACATGACAGAAAACACTGATGTATATAAAAAGAAACTAGATTAACAGTCTATTGTAATACGATTAGCAATTTGACTATCGTAGCAGACATGCGTAGTTATAGCGTATGTAAAATCGAGTTTCTCTAGCAATGATAACAAATCTAGATCAGTTGTTTTTTCTTATTTCTTCTTTGAAAAAAGATAGGAAACTATAAATCATAAGATAATGCTGACTACAAAGATCGGCACTAGGATGAATTTACATCTACGTAGTTATCTAGGCAAATCAGATTTTGAAACTAAAATATTCTATTTTTTTCGAATAGAGTCAGATACATTACTTTTGTTTCGACCAAAATAAAAGATGCACTGAATATTTACAAATATGCAAAATAAACGCATTTGTCTCTTAAAATACTCGAAGCATATTTAATTAAATTTTTTTTAAAAATTATACTTTAATATGACATTCGTACATGCTAAATTTGATAAAAATTGAAAATAGACTTTCTAACAAGATTATCATATAAGAACAAAATGACGTGAGCAAGTAGATTATCATTCTTGATTAATAGAAACGCCTTGATCATCAATGAAAACAGTAACAGTGAAAGAAGGGGAAGACATGAGAATATTAACGCATATACAATAAACATTTTGTAATATCCATCGATAATATCAAGCCATCTTAATAATGAATTTTATTCTGAAACATGATCTTAAAAGAGTGTTGAATTTAAATCCATCGTCTTCCCTCCTGCAATCTGTAATAGGCGGGATGAAAGGTTTTTTTATGCATGATTAAAGTGTCTATATCATTTTTAACATTTTAATTCTACAAGATGTAGATGAAACTGGTCGAATGTTTTTTTTCCTCGGTATACTAGCATGAATGTACATGGGTTCTTCTTCTCTCAAAATGAAATAGTCAAGAATAGATTTGTTACAAAATGATTATGAATCTCATTCTGATAATATAACCTTATATTGGAACAAGTTAACAGATGTATCAATTATTAGTAATCAGATTGCAAAGAACATTGCATTTATACCCATTTTTTTATGCAAGAAAAACACAAAAATGACAAAAAAAGAAAAGTTTCAGACCTCAGGTGGCAAAAAATGCTCCATATTATCATCTTTCTTTTTACGTATTCCACTGAAGGGAACATGTTTTAATGAACTAATGAAATATCTAAATCTGACATAAATTTTTGTAAACCTTGTTTTAGATACTCTTATACGTAATTATCTAACGCATTCTCTTGAATGAAACTGAAGAGATGATAAACCTAGAGGAAATGACATTCATCAAGGTTATCAAATTTATGTAATCGTAGTTGTTTTATTTTTGTCATGATGCTTGAACATAAACAATCGAATTAAAATTCTTGTTGAAAAATTGTTATCTTCTTCCTGAAGAATAAATAAATAACTTAATTTTCTTTTCTTGAAAACCAGAATATTAAGATATTTTTTTTTCGAAATTAAAAAAACTCTAAATCCTAGGAGAATTTATTACATCGAAAAGCAAAAAAAGAAAAATGTCAGTTTAAACAAGAGGATAACTAGCCATAGTAGCAATACCACATTGATTGTTCTTATTTCGACTCATCCAAATATAACCATCAATACCCCATGATGTTCCCCATGAATTTTTGACAATATAATAAAGTTGACTATCTGTTGCATTAAAACCAACAACTAAAGCACAATGATCAACTGCTGTTGATGAACAAGTTGGTTCATCATAAACACCTGATCGATAGAATTGAAATGAAGAATGTGAAGCATCAATAAAAACAGAAATAGGACCAATAATAGCAATAGCATATGTAAGAGCAGCTTCATCTTGAGATTTAATATCACGAAAACCCTATAATATTACAATCATAATTAAATAAATTTCATTATTCATATAAATACAATATTTACAGTAGAATTAGCACCAATAGTTGTCCGATTGAATCGACATTTACCATTACGTGCTTCATACGGATAACTTTCTTCAGTATCAATACCACCATTAACTTTGATATATTGAAAAGATGAATCTATAAAACCACCATTACAACCGGCATTACCAAAATCATTTGAACAATCAATTAGATTTTGTGCAGATAGTGGAATAAGTTGTTTAGTTTGATGAAAATGTTGACCTTCAAGTGAACCAGCTGCTGAAAAAGCCCAAGATGAACCACATTCACCTTGATTTTTAACTGATGTTACAAAACCTTCTTTACGCCAATCTATAAAATTCATTCATCATAATCATATCAAAGAAAAAAAAAACACCGACACATACCAACAGCCTTTGGAACAATAACATTCGAAGGAGCGAAGAATGAACGATGATTGAAATTATTTTTTTCATTGTTAGTAGACATTTTCAATATATTCATTTGTTTTTTAAATTCTTCATGAGTCTATTCGAAATAACAAAAAGAAATCTATATTTTATTAACAAAAGTTTAAAATGTACCATATCACCAAATTGATTCATTCCTAATGTATAACTATGCATGCCTAAATCTACTTCAAGATTATGTTGATGAATTTTAGCTAGATTAGTTTCCCAAATACTTCGACTATAATACAGAAAAATATCATACATTAGAAAAGATCTTCTAATTTACCGAATAATCTGTTCTTCTATTGACACATATTGTTTTTTATGAAGACGTTTAAATAATGACCATTGATGATTGAGTTGTTCATTAAACATCGGTGCACAATAAGCACCTATGAATAGAACGTACACAACGATGAATAATTTCATTAGTGTGCTTGTTTATCAATAAAATATGACTTGTTCCAAATGAATTAATTGTTTGCATTTGTATATCACTTTTTTTTTTATAGTCAGCACACCTTTACAAAGATAACATCGTATGATATCATTAGTTTCTATATCGTCATTTTGACGAAGCATTTGTATATAGTTATGTATGAAAATCAGAAATATTCATTGATTAATACACATTATCACTAACCGAATAATATTCTTAAAATATTTGCCAATGGAATTGGTAAATGAGTAATATAAAGACAGAAACTTTCATATGGATTTTTTTATTAGTGATGCTTATGTTGTGTTACTTGAGAAGTAAAATAATCTTGTAGAGGTAAAGAAAAAAAGAACATGTCTTTACCTGATATATGCAACATATCACACAATATTACTTCTTTTGTCATGACTAATGCAATGAAATTAGAATTATTATCTAATAAAAATCACTTCTTTACAATCACTTTCAGCTATTCTATGTGTTCATGGAATATATTGATAATATCATAATCTTCAACATCATTGATTATTATCTTTGCAATAATATTTGGGATCTATCAAAATTAACATATTGTAATTCAAATCATACAGTTTAATCATCAATTAAAATTTTTTCTTCATAAAGAACTCCATCTACGATTATAATACGTTTTATACTTTATGCTTTTGATGAATTTCAATATACAGAAAAGATTGCAAACAAAAGAACATTATCGAAAACTTCTAAATCCAAATTTTTAGTCACTTCTACCGTGCTTCTAAAGATTTATGAAGCAAACACTGAATGGATCTTCAATAAGTTTGCTGAAGTGAAAAAAAAGTTTTTCATGTTAAACTTGACTAGTTAATATTTGATCATTTTCTCCATAAGAAGCTGCCAGAATCTTTTCGAGTAATATCTCATTTGATAGAGTTAATTCTGTTCTACAAAACTGCATATATGGTCTTTTCTTCAACCTTCATTATACAGATATCCCAGACTCGAAATAACATCGTTTCTACTGATTTTTTTTAGTGCAACCGGTATTACTCTGCTAATTTCTTAGATTTTTCATGCATATTTCAGCTTTGAATTTTCTTCAAACTAGTTATACCTGTAGAACTGTTCGATGGCTACAATATATGTTATTTTGATTTCACTAGGTACCAGTGATAGATAGCAACATAACAAACATTCTACTATTTAGTAATATCAGCGAATATATGATCAAAAAATAAATATTGTGACCCTTTTTAGTTAGGTATGATATCAAGTATTCATCATTTATCAACGACTGTTTTGTATGTTTTTAACACCCTAATATTTGAATTATAGCATAGTTTGACCAAATATTGTAGTTTCTAGAAGCCTCTCCAAAACTGTAATTATGCTTTTGAGGCAATTTAGAACAAGTCAAAATATTAAATATTGCTATAGAAGATAAGAAATTGACTTGAAATATTATGAAACATTCTAATAGAGACAGAACTTCAGTTCTTATATTTCTCTTTTATCAAGTATTGATCGTAAACTACGCTATCTTTTGATAATAGTATGGAAGAAAACCGATAGGAACGTATGTTTTGGAAATAAGAAGGTTCTTCGGCTGATACGGTTTATATGTTGATAATAATATTGTATCAATCCGAAATTATATGGTCAGTATTTTAATAAAAATTCAATTATTCTCATTTTAATATGTAATATAATCAACAATCAGTAAAACCTTATGGTACTAACGCTTGCCTTCTGTATTTGAAAGTATTCAACAGAAAATGCGAACCCTGTCTTATGTTACTCAATGATTTTAGCTAAAACTCAATATAAGACAAAACAATAGATAATATATTAATTGTTTCCTCAGAACCAAGATAAAGAACACTACTTGCTAACAATAAATATATAGTACGCATTCACAGTTACTACGTCAGTGCACGATGCACTTCGAATATTCCTAGTGAAATATCTATCAGAGATGAGTACGATTCAAGTTTTTCAAATTTCATAAGATTTTGCTAAGTATCTAATTTTTATGTCAATTTTTCATATAATTTCAAACGAGAAATTTTCCTCTTAATTATTTAGTTGATATTAAAGGAAATATTGATAGTTTCTAGAAATTTCAGCTAAAAGTTAACTAAGACTGAGTCTAAAACAAGATGAAACAGCTGTTTTTTTTCTAATTTTCTATCAATTTTAAAGCAAAACAATCGATTAAATAAAAACAAAAATTACTTGTTTAAAAAAGGTCTGATTTTCAACGTTTAGTGTTTTGATTTAAATGTTTTTTTTTTCTATAGTTTAAGCCGGTAGGTGAGAGTCTGATTATTGAAAGAAAACTGTTCGTATATTTACAGGATAGGTCTACCATAGTGATTACAAAAAAAGTGATGTTTTTGATTTTTTCTCAAGTTTTTGATTATATGGATTTTGTTGATTAAACTGGTTTTTTTTATAAGTTAACAGAAAATCTAAAATTCCAGTAGTTTCCCTCAATTGTCTAATCAAAAAATCCTGATTTCACCTGTTTTCTTCTTGACCTAAAATGATTTCTACATATTTTAACACACAAAAAAATCGTTCAAATTCTTGAAACTGTCGCAATTTCTAAGAAATCTTTGTAATTATTAATTGATCACCACATAAATACTGTTCTCTTTACAGTTTGTGTTTCTTTGTCTACAGAAGACAAAAAAATATCTGAATACTTCATCATTACTGATCACACATTTTTTATTCACTTTTCTTGTTTTACATATCGAAATAATGATCTAAGCTCATCCATTTAGATAAGAACCGATGAGGGTCACGAACAAAACTGAACCATGTCCATCTCTGCTATAAGCCTGCAAGCCCCACCGTCTTATGAAAAGAGACTGCTTATTCGCAGTTCCCCCACATTCTCCTTGTTTTAGATAAAAATGAAGCGCTTTTTTTTTAATTCAGAAAGTATTCAAATAGACCATTGTATGGTTTTGTAACATATCTTTTGTCTATGATTTTTTCCTCCTCTACTGAAAAGGAGATAGTACAATGTTTCCTGGATGTTAATAAACATTTTCTTTAAACTGTTCAAATCATGAAATATGTTTCACTCATCGGCGAAAACGCGTGTTAAAAGTTGATTAATCGCACACTATGATTAACACATCTTTGGCGATTAACGAAACTTTTTGTCCAGTTTACGTATTGTGATATTTATATATTGTTTCGGTTGTTACGTTATCTATTTACCCATGTAATTTCGTCATCAACAAAATATACAGGCTTGATATAAATAAACCTTTTTTTTATACGACAAAAAAAAGCCTGCAGTCTAGTAGCGCAGTGTATTGCAGTGACAGAATGGAAAGAAAAATGAGAGAAAGAGATACGCTTTTCATGACCCTACTGCAAGAATGAAAAAAAAAACATGGTTATTCACTGTGTTGTCGTCTTATGAAAAAATACAACTAAAATGCTTTTACTTACTGGTGCTCTCGTCGCTTTGCTATTCGTTGTAGTCGTTACTTATCTATGGTACATTCGGAAAACTTACGATTTCTTTATTCGACTCGGCATACCAGGATCACCGCCAACACTTTTCTTTGGCAACTTTCCGGAAATCATCAAAGCTAAAAGACAGTCGGTTGCGTTCAAGCAATGGACTGACAAGTATGGCCACATCTTTGGCTATTTCGAAGGACATACGCCTATTCTTATAATATCGGATCCAGATGTTCTTCAAGATGTATTCGTTAAATCATTTTCAAAGTTTCATTGCCGTCGTGAATCTCCTATTATGAGTTCACAAGCAAAGGATGTTAATCTGTTCAATGCCGTCGGACTTCGCTGGAAACGACAACGATTTATTACCAATCCGACATTTTCCTCGCTAAAACTCAAACAAATGTCACCATTGATTGATCGAAGTATTGAAATGTTAATGGAAAAAAATGGCGGATCAGTGTGCCAGAGGTGAACCATTTGATATCTATGCATATTTCAAACGATTCACAATGGATACTATTTGGTCATGTGGTTTCGGTCTCGACACTGATATGCAAAATAATGTCAATGATCCGTATCTTCTCATGTCACAAAAGGTTTTTTCACCGAACATAATTCTTGGAATACTATTCATTTTGGCTCTTTTGATAACAGAATTAACAGCAGTGTGGAGAATTATATTTTGGTCACTCGGTAGTATCCGCTATGGACTTCGACGCTATATTCCTGTGACAAAGCGATTCATTGACGAAAGTCCCGGTACATGGATTTTGAAACAAGCCACCGAAATGATCGAAAAACGTAAACATATTGGTCAAACTGGTCGAACAGATTTATTACAATTGATGCTCGAGTCCATGTCCGATGAAGATTTTATTCAAGTAAAATTCTTTCTGCGGTTGAGGAAACAATAAAATTATCTTCTTTTACATGAATGCAGTTATTTCCAAGATTTTTATGCAACTCATACTTTCTATTCTTTCAGGAAGGTCAAGCATCATTCGAGAAAAATGATGACACTGAAGTCGAAGCACCACTAGTTCGAAAAATAACCAAACATGAAATCTCGGCCAACATTTTCCTTTTTAGTGAGCAAACCAATCTATCATACACTTGTTGTCATTAAATTTTCCCTTTTTTGCATTATAGTGATTGCTGGTTATGAGACTACAAGTACAGCTCTTGCTTATGTGACATATGTTCTTTCTACTTATCCAGACGAACAGCGAAAGTTACAAGAGCATATCGATGCTCATTTCAATCCAGAAACAGAACACATCATGCCAACATATGAAACCATCGTTAAGATGGACTATTTGGATATGTTTATTCGAGAGACTCTTCGCATGTTTCCTATTGCACCTATGGCGATTACCCGTCAAAGTGTCGATGATTTTCACATTAAAGGCTTTGGCGCCATACCGACAGGTACACTGATTACCGTCGACATGTTCAATTTGCATTTTAATCCAAATTTATGGGGTCCCTTGGATCCATACGAGTTTCATCCTGAAAGATTCGCCACTAAACGACATCCAATGGCGTGGATTCCGTTCGGAGCTGGGCCGCGTAATTGTGTGGGAATGCGTTTTGCTTTGCTTGAAATGAAAATGTTAGTTGTTCGACTGCTGAAAACGTACACACTAATCGATTGTGGTGAGAAAACACGCAAACCATTCCAACAACTCAGCGAAATGCCCGTCATTGCACCTAGAGAAACCATTGTCCAACTTCAACGTAGAGATGAATAACTTGAGTGATAAACTCTTTCGCGATGTTTATATTTCGTTTTCTTCTTTTCTTGCTATAGTTTTTCATTGTATTTTCATGCTATCATTACATCTTCAGGTTATCGCTTCCCTTTTGTACGATTAGAATAAGTCTCGTATATCGACTTAGCATCATATTTTCAGGTTGATGTTGCCTGACTGTAAAAGTATGTTTGTATGAAACAATCATACATCAGTCATTGTCTTAATTGACATTCGTTCGATGTGAAATTTTTATATAAAAAATGAAACGTAAGTTATTAGTTGAAGAAATATGTGATTTAACAGTACTCAAAATCAGCTAACGAGCGCCATTGACAATTTTTCACACAAATAAACAATCGGGTTGGTTTATGCGGTAAATGTTTGGAATTTACAGATCTTATCAAGTGGCTAGTATCTGTATCAATGATCTACTATGTAAACTAGTAGACCTCACCGTTATCGAATGAGTATAGGTATCACAATAAATATAAATATTTCATTTATGCTGTTAAAGATTACGAACTAAAAGACAATATAATCTATGATAATATGACAACAAGTCTTATAATCAACGTAAACAGATGCCACAATCATTGAGTCAACTATCAATTTCATAGTCATTACCTATAAAAAGATAATGGAGAAGAAAAAAGTTATCATAATATCGTCGATGAATATAAATCAAAATTCATAACTCATAATTCTGACAAACAATATATATTTTCGTATAGGCAACTAATGTATTTGAAAGTATCACTTACAATACTTTGTCAATGTTTACATCTAAATCTGCCATTGAAGAAAAAAATTGAAGGACAATTTATTTATTTACGATTTCAATTGTTAGATCAACAATTTCGTTTTGATCTCGATCGATATTTATGATAGCCCTCTTTAGATATCAGATTACAACTATTGTAGCCACTAAGATTCTACTACATCAACTGGTAGCAAAAAAAAAAGAATTTTCTTCATAACAAATATAGGATCATATGCATACGATGACGAAGACAAATGAACGTCAACTATGTCAAGAATTTGTTGTGAACTATTTATATGAACTGATTCATCAATTTGATTAATGTAATATAGAATTAATGATACAATTTCAATCGTGTCTATCAGTATTTTTACCGTTGGAAATACTCGATATTTCTCTCAAACAATTTGTCTAACTACAATGAAAATAATTATCGAAGAGAAAAAATGATCTACTGACAAAAGAGTTATTCGATAGGATCTCTACCATGTTTACATCGATTATTTTCAAGTTTCATGAAACTTTCAGAATTTGTGGACTATATCGAGGAAATAAAAACAATAGAATATTCCCATATGAATAATTGACTGGCCAATGTATGGCGAAAAAAACCGATGAAAATTTCCGTTATCTAAATCTTTGTATAAAATCATTGAAAAATGCTTTAAACATCAAAATGTTTTGGTTTTATAAGATCATTTCTCTGGACTATAGATACTTACCGAGCACAATTATTTTATTATGAGAATGTTGTTGAATAACACGAAAATTTTACTCTCTCAGTGAATCAACAAAATAAAAATTGACCATCGATGTTATGTTCGAGAAATTTCCGTCGCAGATTAAGATTATCTCTTTCATTGACTGACGTATAAAAGAAGAAAGGGATGATTTCGAAGAGACTACACACATGTTTTAAATATTGTTATGTTCAACAATATTTTGATTATTGACTTCTTTTTGATAATTAGAATAATACTTGTTCGTATAGTTTTTGTCAAATTTCTAGAACTTTTCTAATATAGTATTAATAAACATTTAATGATGTGAAACGAAGGTAGAGTTATACTCTTCGTTGGTAAATGTGTCATGTCTTGATATAAATATCATTTGTAAATAGTTGGGATAAAAATGGAAATCGAAGGAAATATATCATTACCTTCTTTTTTCGGTCAATTTAGTGCAACTATTTTTGATGAACATCTTATATTATTTATTAAAAATCAATTATCTCTGGTTTTCGTTCTCAGTTGGATATAAATGTCAAACAAATCTCTTCTTCAATATCATCAAGTGAACTTTTAGAAGAACCATATTAGAATATGAGCAAAGAGTACGTTATAATTTGATGATGATGATGGATAATTATTTAATATTTGCTCGAATTCCTCGTATTCATCACATACTGGATTATATTCTTTGTAAATATGGTATGATAAACGTAATGGATTTCAATTGAATAATATAATTCAAGTAGATATCAATCATCAGAAAGATTCATTTAACAAATTATTAAACTTTTCAATCAGTTAACTTCAGAATTACAATTTCAAGGTTTTTACTTTGAAAAGGATGCTCGATTATCCGCTAAACATCGAACGAATAATCTTGAAAGGAAAATAAAATTTTGAATAGTAAACATGATTAATACACTTCTTAAATTTTTTTTTGCGCCGCGATAGTTTTTAAAAAAATGTTTCGAATTTCACTGCTACGGCTGTATTAGACTCGAAATATTGGTATTAATCCATCAGATTCATTCAGTCTTAGGGTGTTTCATTTGTAAACAATGAAATTCTATCAAATTTATGCAGTTTTTTAATGTCCTCGAAAAAAATACTGCCACTATTGCGATGGCTTTTTAGAAAAACTACCGCTGCCGTGAGGATTTTTAAAAAATCTATGCTGCTGCACCGCCATGAACATCTCTAAAATTTGGGGGGGGGGGGGGGGGGGGGGGACAGTCTGGCCGGAGGATCCAACTTTTTTTATCATTTAACTTCTATAAAACATCAGAATAATATGATTCTTTTATCAATTATAGTACGTTCCTGAATAAATTACCATAATTGTTTATCTCTCATGATTATCCTTGAGAAACAACAACAACAAATAAAAAGATTCGATTGGTTTTAATATTGTTCTAATCTGTTACTTTTAATCTATTTATTAACTTGAAATATAAGTATATTTCAAAGAGTTTCGATTATGATTTCGAATAAGGGACCGGTAACATTATTTTATTCATTTTAATCAAACAATTTGTATTTATTGTTGTTGGTCTAAGTTTCTATCGAAATCATTTGAGTATCTGAATCAAAATAGTTACTATAATCAAACATCCGTATGAACTGGGTTGAAAAGACTGAATGAAGTCAATGAATTATTAGACATTTCAATACTGTTCATTTTATGGAAGTTTCCAAAAGTTAATTTTTAGAGATGTAGCAAATACCTATAACAATTGAGAAAGAAAAGTGCATTCTCTCTAGTTGAATTTTCGAGAACTTTAGTGAATGATACGAAAATTTATCAGGGATTGCAACAATCCATTAACAATTTTGGTTCAGATCCGTAGAAATATATAAGAGAACGAAGATTTAATTCTCATTTTGAAGAGTATTTTCTTTTGTAAATGATGAAGTTCATTTAGTTTTCTGTCTGTTCCTTCTTTAAAATCAAACAAGAAGTCTGCTACGACCAAACTTCTTAAATGATTGCCATAGAAAGAACTCTTAAAATAATCAAAAGTGTTTATTATCAAATATATTCTGATTTATAAAAATTGAATTGTAAAAAGGTTGTGAGTGAAGAGAATTTTCATAATTACATTCATGCTACAGATTTACATACAATCTTTTTACAATGAAAAATTAACTATCGATGCATTTTTATCTTTAATATCATCGATTGATTAATTCTTATTTAATATTTATAAAGAACATTTGATGAAACACTTTTGTTTAAGTTCGAGGTACGCCATATTGTGTGACCATATCCATCATCTTTTTGTTGTATTCGGTTATGTTCGTGTCATATAACGAGCCCATTTCTAATGGGTAAAAAAAAACGGATGAATAAAGGACGAAAAAATGTCAAAGAACTCACCGGCGTCGACTACATGATCTCGCTCAGGTTTATCGATAACATCGATAACAATTTGTACAACATCGGCCAACGAAACTGAATCCCATTTTCTTGTTGCATCCAAACGAGAACTGCAAATTCTGCCTATAGGTAAAAATTAAAAAAAAAAAAGAATGATTATTCGAATAGATTCGAGTGACTATGATAATTCAAAAAAACTCTTTTTTACTTTTGCTTGTTTTTGAATAACAGAGAAAAAGAAAAGTAATTTGTTTTAGTTTTACTCACCATCTTTCTCGATATTAGGATGACGAATTCTGGTTCTCATATATACTTGTGGATGTTCATATGGATATGTAAACGGTACACGTATTTCCACTTTCAACAGATGCTTTTTGAAGGACTCCATTGATGGATATATTAATCCAACAATAATAAAAAATTGGATCTGCATTGCCGAGGCAGTCGCACCATTATTCGATTGTAAAGAAGATAATAATTCTGGATTGTCAAAAGAATGATCTTTGATGCTGAATCTCTTTGATATTGCATCATGACTATGAGCCCAATTTTGAAGCTCAGTATACAGTCTCCATATACGTTTTCTTGGATCCAAATTCGCCATTGAACGAATGATTGCAAAACAATCTAAAAAAACACAAACAAACCATACAACATTGTGAATCACAGTTACTTATTCATTATAATTTCTGGAAAAAAAATGTCAACTTTGTGTTCTGTCATTCTCTTTTATTATATATTTTTATTTACTGCATGCGTTGACGAATGTGTCGTTATTGTGCCTTTGTGTTATAAAGAAAGTTAAGGAAAGGAAGAAAAAAGGAAAACATATGCCTATGACTTACAACACTCAACTATATATGTTGGAAAATTCCAAGACATTTTTTATGTAGTTTCCAAAAAATAGCGACGCAATAAGAAAACTTTTCAAGCAATGCCTAGACGGTAAAAGAAAAGTTCTTCCGAGAAAAGTAACTAGATGGTTTGATGCAGAGGTAACGGATGCGAATGAGAGTGTTAGTGTCAGGGAAAAAAAGGTTAAGAATGTATACCTAACACCATTCTCCAGAAAGGTGAGGTATATGATTGAAGCCAAAAATAGTAATTCCAATATTATAGGGTGAATTAGTTATATGTGGTATTTTCCTTTTTCATTGTTCTGTTCTGCTATCGTACATAGATGACACGTACGATATACATATATATCTTTTCTTCATTCTTGTCCTTCTCTTCTCTTGATATAGTCTAGATATTTTCTGTCTTATCATGTCTTTTCCACTTGTCCTTAGGTTTTCTCTTAGTTCGTTCGTCTATATATAGTTGTCGTTTGGAAAATAAAAAGAAAATTATTATTACCTATCGATTGGATCGAAACTACCCGTTAACATCCAATTTATGTTTTTTTGGCATTTTTTTCATTTTTTTTCTCATCGTCATCAGCTATGATGCCTAGTGTAAATAAAAAAGTGCTCAAGGTTAATGCACCTTTTTTTCCAACAATCTCGATGACTCACATCCTATCCTATTCACTCCAGAAAAGTAATCATTCAAAGTTATGCTATTTTTTTTACGTTCTCTTCATATTTTGTTTTTCTCACCGCCATCAGTTTATGATGCTTGATATATATAAAACAGCGATCAAAAGTAATATACACTGTGTTCTTAAAGTTTGTATAAAAACAAAGCGTGAGTAGTTCTCTGATAATTTTTCGATAATTTTATTTAATATAACTTCTTTTATAAGAGTTGTTGAAAGCTACACCATGAAACTGAAATACACTAGTTCACTATTTTCAAAAATTTGGGAAGAATATGACATAGAGTTACCTATGAAATCATTTTACTTTCTTTCTCGATCGTTATTGTCAATTGAACCTAGTTATTAGTAAGCAAGTTGCAAATATTATGTTGTGTGCATGTCTGTAGAAAATAAATTCGAATAATATCAAATTTACTGAGTCGATTTGTTATGATGAATCTATATGTTAGAAAAAAATATTTCTCGAAGTTGACATTTTTCACTGTCAATAGACAAACAAGTTTCATTTTATTGAAACATTAACTATGTTAGGTCATAATCTTCTAAGCTAGTAATGAAAATTTTGCTATAACCTGAACATAGTATATCAAGTGTACTTTTGTAAACAACATAATTTAATAGACTTATCACATCTATTATAACTGTAGTACTTTCACAGCATGATCAATTTTCTACAATATCAGTTTCGCAAAATTACTGAGAGATAACTTTAATTCTATACTCATGTGTCGTTTTTTTTTATTGGAGTCATTTGACAATCTTCGTGTTACAAGCATAGGTAACTGAAACTTAATCAATACTTAGGTCTATTTTGATTTCAATACTGATAGACATAGACATTTTATCTGAAATATGCTGAATAAAACTTTAGCGACTATAAAATCAAATTATAAAAAATATGATGATAATCACTTGAATTCCTGCGGATTTATTCGTGATTTTTTTTCTCATATAGACTTTTAAAATATTTTGTATTTATTTTCAGAATTCATTCGATTCAATGACTCTTCCGCCGATAAATATCATCTGGTGCGATATTTCTTTCGAAAACAACGAAAGCTATCAGCCTATGAAAGATGAATTCAATGAGACAACTACAGGTACATCGAAAAGAGAATTGGATTCCATCGATATGGCAATTCTCGATGAAGGAAAAGAACAGCTACATTCAAACAATGTACCACTCGTCACTGTTCGAACGTGTAATGATGCAATGCTACAGATTGAAAAACATAAAGATAATAAAATTTTCGTCATCTGTTCGGGTACAGTAGGTCGATACCTTGTGCCAGAAATCGTACGTCAATATCCACTCGTACACAATTTTTACATCTTTGCTCACAACATTGCCTTACACCTTGACTGGGCAGACAATTACCCACGCATCTTGAGAATGTTTAATTTTCACACCAATCTATTAGTTCGACTGACACGAGATATTTCTGCTTATTTTATTGAAAAAGGAAAAATGTATTTACAAGTCGATGCGCCACAAGATGCGTTAACATATTTCAATCATGCTCGCAACCTGGAGATACAAGCCAATGTACGAGATAAGGGAAAGATCAATCAGAATAGCACGGAATCAGGTTATGCACATATTGATTTTCGAGAGCATCTCGATCTGCTCGAAGGCGATAGTGGACTGATTTCTCAAGCTAAAGAAGCTATACTTGCACAAGGATACTCTTTGGATGATTCTTGATTCGAATTACTTTAACAAGGACTGAAACTGTATTATCGTCTTCTCTAGTGTTTTTCCTCTTTTTTGTTATTTTGGTCATTCTACTCTTGTTTAATCAACATGCGGGTGAATTCGAACTTAAAAAATAAATATCATTCATTGAATCGTTTCACAATTGATTCAAAGGTGACTTACAAGGATGATGACGAAGAAAATCTGTTATTCAAAAACTTTTTTTTTCGTGTATAGTTATTTAAGAGAAAAAAATTATAATCTTGAAACAAATAAAGGCATATTTAACTTAACACGTTCTTAAAATATTCCAGATATGAAAAACTTTCCATCAAAACTTTTAAAAAAATCACAATGATATTTTTTATTTTTCTCATTGTTTTAAAAATGGCGAGTTTTAACATAAATGTGATAAAATTATTTTCGGGAGTTTTGAACTTGAAATAGAATAGCTCAATAAAATGAAAAATAAAGTCGAGATAAATATCAAAGTTACTAGACTATGCAAGTTTAAATTCTTCATATCTATTATTAACGGCTTATACTAGCATGAAGTTAGAAAATGAATAAGTGCGTTATCTTTCGGATAGATCGAGTAAACGAAAGATTAAAGTTACTCAACGAAATTAAAATTAGACTATTCGAGATCAAATGATATTGGATATAACTAGAAGAAAATGTATCCATTTACTACTATTTGATCCTTCATAATGCTTTATTCTAACACATTAAGTCTATTTGTGTCTATCACTATTCTTACACTTCTTATCATAAATTCATAATATTTTCTATGTTAAAACACATAGCATTTCGGCATATTACATTCGAAATTATAGTCTTCAATATACAAATAGATCGATTTAGATACCCATAGAAAAAAAAGCTTAGAGAGAAAGGAACGAGTAAGAATGCGTTTTCGAAAAAATGGAACGCATTTTATCGACTAAGGACACGTTTTTTTAAAAAATTGAAGCGTCCAAACACATCGGAACCCGTTTCACATCGAGAGCAACACTTTCTCAGTAGAAGTGTTTTAGTTTGTTCAAGAATAATTCGTTCCTATAGTTGAAAAACGTACATGTCAAGGATACGTCAAAATATTTAAAGAAGAATACGTTTCTTTCGTCTAATGCAAATGTATTTATAATCGAATGGAATTCATTTCTTAGTATGTGTTATAACGCATGCAACAAAAAACACAAGGTTAATTGAGAGATTTACATGTTTTTCATACGAAGATATGTGCTTTTCGGTTGTTTCACACAAAAAACTTAGAATAAGTTTATCAAGTTCATTAAGTGCATTCATTTTACCACTGAATGAATATTTTTCTAAAGGTCTATAATAAAAAAAAATAACAAAGAATATATATTGAAAAGGTAAACAAAACAAAATTTTTTTTTTATTGAAAACCAACAATCTGTTTGTGCAAAGACCAAATATTCTTTAGCGAAATAAGAGGGTCGTTTGAAATGATACAGATGGTGGCAAAAATCAGAATTCATTTTTCATATATATGATTATAAACGTGTTCATTATGGCGCTTTTAATTAGGCTGCGATGCCATACAAGCTTTTTGCTTCGAGAATTAACTTGCGCCAGGTAATCGAGCCGCTAGTATGCTCGTCGAAGCGGTGGTATTCATCTTCAACCTTTCTCCAGTAACATTTTGGAATTTCGACAGGTGACAAACCACTTTTCGGTTTCTTGATACCTCACCATCGCCATAAACAATTATTGAAGTCACATGTTGTTGGTTTTACATATTGTGAACATAAAGGACATTTTGGCGTAGTCACATCAGCACCAATGAGTACGTCGAATTGTTTGAAGGCAATATTTATAATTACTTGCCAATTAAACGCTTGGTACGAGATGCTAACGCATTTACCTTCAAGACTAATACCCGGTGTCATTATAGGCCATGGAGACGCAGTTGTACTGAATTTTATATGTTGGAGACCACCATCATTACTAACATCGATGAAAAAGGCATCCATCTCAGTACCAGATATATTATGAACAGCAAAACCATTTGCGAAATATGTATGTGGTTCGGTAGTGTATAAATTGTACACCAATGTCGAACGAGGGTGTGGGTGTGGATGTCGATGTGGGATGTGGGTAGTGGTGAAGACACACCTCACAACGCACACCCAAACTCATTCACACTCCACACTCGCGTCCACAAGTTAAAGAGACAATTTATTAATCATGTTCAATGAAACGGCAAAGATATTTAAAAAAAAACACTTTTGTTAAATGATTTTCAGAACAGTTCGCATCTTCAACATATTTTCATCTTAGCAATATCAGTTTCTTCTTCTCTCATCCCATTCCGAATATATTTGAATATATTTCTTAGTCGTCTTCCCAATATATTCTATTAATTTAGTTATTATTTGTGTAGTTAGAATAAGTAAATCTTAATGATGTTTTTTTTTGTCTAATTCAATCTGATTCATTTCTTGTTCGATGTAATTGTTCATTGATTCATATGTATACTAATTTACTATAAACTATTTTCTCTTGTGTAGAATTTAATATTTGATATATCCTCTTTTGTATAAAACAACGAGGAAAGCAGCAGCAACTGTCTGTTAGACACATTTTCTGAGATAAGTAATTTATTGTAATAATTTATAAATGATTAACTGTTTAATACAAATTCTAATATAATATAATAGTTATTTTTCTTATAATCTAAATATAGTGTGCTCGATTTTGCTTCTATTTGTTTTATTTCTTATAAGCATATTAGACTATTAAATTAACAAGTTCCTTTTTGTTAACCTTTCCCATAGCATTTCGAGGTATATGATCAATAATTGTTACTGAATCTGGTAACGAATATTTTGGTAATTGTTGTTTACAAAATGGACGTATGGCGTCTATTGTCAAATTTGTTATATTTGTCGGTGATTTTGGTAGAATAATAGCAACTATTTTTTGACCTAACGTTAGATCATCAATACCAACAACTGAACATTCTAAAATATCGTTGTGTTCTAACAAAACACGTTCGATATCTAATGCTGATATTTTATATCCAGCTCGTTTAATTATGTCCATCGATTGTCTACCGCGAATTGAGAAAACATTTTTTTGTGGATCATAACGACATATATCACCAGTTTTGAAAAATTTACCATCAATAGTAAATGTAGCATGTGTTTCATTAGGTTTTTGCCAGTATTCTTTAAATAGTGTTGGACTTTGAATTAGAAGTTCACCTTCGATTGGTTCATCTGTTGTATCTTTAATGAACAAATAAAAATAAAACAACCAAACGGTTATCTTGAATAAAATAAAATTTCAACCATACTCTTTACTTCTAATTTTGTATAATCACTATCAGCTTCTACTAATGTTTCATAACCCATTGGTGAGTCGGAATTTTCTCGTGCAATTCGAATAAGAACAGTAGGCATTGGTTTACCAACAGTACCTATATTATCAAAATTATACTTATATATGAATTAATTATAAAATTATTGAAAAAAATGAATTTCGGTTCTCGAAACCTGCAAGTAGTATATCATAGTGGATTATATGAGGAAAGAATATACCTATGGGAATTTTTTTGAATAATATTCTTAAATCGATCGAACTAAAGGAGATTTTGAAAGAATGTAATAAGATGTGAGTTTCGATACATTGTTATATGAACTCATTAAATTACATGTGTCAATGTAGGAATTAAAATTAATTTTTAAAAAATCGACTTGAAAGCTGGATCAGTTATAACTGAGTCGATTTTAATTCCAACATTGACATATGTACTCAAATATATTTAAAGACTCTCAGGTCATATATACAAAGAACTTTGAATTCACAGTGCTATATATATATATATACTTGTGTTAGAAAAAATAAGATAACTTTCTATTAGATCAATCTAGTAAGGGTATGGGTGTGTGCATGTGCAAGTGAGTATTTCTTACTAGAGTCACATCCTCAGATGTTATTGTATATTTAAAGTAACGCATTACTCTATGATTTTAAAAGTGAATTGTGGAAATCTCTATGTACAAAAACGCGTGTCTTTAATGATAAACCATCGCTTATTTAAAATTAGTGGCTAAAACATGACGATTTATTCTAGATTATATTGGTTTTTACAATTATTCATTATTAAACTTGCAAAAGAATAAAAAATATCGATATATCTGTATTAACCGATGAGAAATAAATTTCCGTTTATTGATAAGTTATAATAGTCGTTAAGGTACGAAATAAACATGCTAGTTTAATCTTAGTTTAAGTTTTTGACGCTAATATATAACAAGAATAAGCAAAACTTTCAAATCGTCTTTGACAGTTTTATTCGTCGTCGTCAATTCACTTTCATCCAATATCGATCCAAATAATTCTCAGTACTTTGTCATAGAGGAAAGACGCTAATTTGAACATCGATTGTACATCTGATATAAACACTATGAACTTTCAAAATTCAAATAACAAGAAATCAATCGATTATAGAACTTTCTCGTTAAATAAGCACTAGTAGAAAACAAACGTTTGAGCATTAGAACAGTTGGCATTACAGGATTGTTGAAAATCAATTTATAATTTTGTTTTTTGTGCGTTACTAAGACAATCTTCGAAGAGCTTCGTATGAAAAAAAAAATCACAAAGATTAACTGAGAAGAACTCAAAATATTGAATTTTAATTTATAAGAATATAGACTCGCACAGAATTTCGAACCTCGTTGTTAGCTTTTATGTCTATCTATCGATCTGGTTCTTGCTTTGGATGATTAGAATTAACAATTGTAAAAATCAAATTCTTCTAACTATGCTACATATCTCAAAATTGTTCAGAAAAAACCTGTGTCACAACGTTACGTAACTACAAAGATTCTCTCGAAACTCGAAAATTCTTTATGATACATAACATTCGAGATAATCGGAAAAAAAGTAAATCTAGAGTGTCTCAATAGAAGAAGATAATTTTATTTGTATTTTTTTTTTGTTGGCATCCTAATTCCAATTTGTATTTATTTAGTTACAAAGAGAAGATGAGTATGTGTCATGTTCCAAAGTGCTTCATATATTTCCCTTCAATAGCAATGCTAAATTAATTGAGATTTGTTAGGGTGTTGACAGTGAAATTTATCTAACAAAAAAACAAGTGTTTGTTTTTGGAAAATAATCAAAGATAAGACTAACATGTCATTCTGATAGATAGACTTTATCTTGTTGAACTATGAGTTCTCTGTTTTAATAAATTAAATAAGGAAAACTCAATGGTCGGGGTCATTGACTACTAATAATATGAAATTTTTTCGAAGTATTGCACCTAGATATTCGATGTTCTTTATCGATTAGATAATTTCTGTAATAAAAAAAAATTCTTTTGCAATTGAAATTTAAACCTGGAATTCTTTCTCCATATAATGGATTTGATAAAGCCATTCCACATTCTGTCATTCCATAACGTTCAAGAAGATTATAACCAGTTATATCATACCATCGTCGATAAATACTTTCGGGTAATGCAGCAGAACCACACATCATTAAACGAATCTTTTGTGAACATTGTTCACGAATAATATCTCTTGTTTGAGAACATGATGCATATTTAACATCGTATTCATGAATAAGTTTTGCATAAACTGTTGGTACACCTGTAAAAACTGTGATTTGTTGTTTATGAGCAGAATTTATTAAATATTCCCATACCTATATTATAAAGTAAAAAGAATTTAAAAAAAAAATTCTTATTTAAAATAACCTTCGATGCATCAAAACGAGGAAGCATGATTACTTTAGCACCAATAAAATGTGGAGTTAATAAACCATTCATAAGACCATGAATATGATGAAGTGGTAATATATGTAATATTACTAAATATTACATAGAAATATGAATTGGTTAATTTAAGAAAAATTAATTTTACCATCATCTGTTGTCCAACCCCAAGCTTTAATCATTGAATCAACATGTGCTTGAACAGCATTATATGTTATAACACATCCTTTTGGTTTACCACTTGTTCCACTTGTATAAAGGATTAAAGCATTTTTTTGATTAATTGTTGGTGATAATAAATTATCATTATGTGTAATTGTTGATGATAAATCATTTTTATTTATATTTATAATAGGTATAGTAATTTGTGAATTATTTTCTAAAGTTGTTTTAATCAAATCATAACTATGATTATCCCCAACAATAACTGCTCGACATTGTGCATCATTAAGAAAATAATCAATTAATGTTGGTGGATGTTGTAATGATAGAGGAATTACAGTTGCTCCAATCATCCATGATGCCCATAAAGCAATAACAAATGATGCATCGTTTGAACATAAGATACCAATTTGTATACTATTTGTATCAATCGCATTATCAGTAGATTTCTCTTGTTGAATAATTGAACTAAGACGATGTGAAAATTGACGTGCAATTGAATAAAGTTGTTCATAAGTATACGAAGATGATTGATCGACTAATGCGACTTTATTTCCATATCGAGAAATTGATTCATAATAAATAGGATATGATGCAGATATATTACAAGAACTCATCCAAAAAAGAAAACAGAAGAAAATACAATGCGATTTGTAGGTTTCTTTTTTCGGGAAATACTCTAAAGATTGGTAGGAATTTCGTCAATGTGCATACGGTGTTAGCAGTGCATGCAAAGCTCATAATCATTGTATCGTTTTCTTCTGAATGATATATCGATGGTCTTTCGATGTTATATAGCAATGGAGGAAATTAGCAGTCTACGAAGAAGGAGTGAATCTTCTGTTCTATTGAGCACTTTCTCCAATAACGACACTACTGAGAATCTCAAGAAAATAAATTTTTCATTATGGTTCAACTTTCAGAAAATAGGAAATGTTTCTGTGGATATATTGTAGAGCGTATTGAGAATCTGTCATATGATAGGGATTTTGTTTTGATGAATTTATGAAATTTTAAATTAAGATATCTATGACTGTTCAAAAAAATGGTGTTCGTATTAATGATATGAAAATTTAATATTTGACATATGCGAAAAATCTTTTCCTTCTCTTCGAATTATGCTATTGATGGATCTATAGAACAGTTGTCTCTAACCTGAAAATTGAATTCATTTATTGAACACAGTGGCGTAGCCAAGGGAGGGGCAAATGGGCAACTGCCCATTTCATTTGGAGATTTGCCCATTGTAATTTCACTTTTTCAGAATTGTTTATTTATTTTTGAATTAGATAATAATTCGTTTTCTTTACTTTCGTCTGAATCACACATGCATTTTTGCTTGTTCTTTCTGTGAAGAATGAAGAAAAGACTCGCTTCTGGTATTTTCACCAGAGTTGCTAGATGAAAAACTTAAAAATCAGAAATTCTTGTTTTTAAAATCAGAAAAAAATCAGAATTTTTTTCTGAAATTGAAAACTAATCATAAAGAGTAACTTTTTGCAAACCAAGGACTATCATGTTTACATACTTGCACAAAACGCTTCACGTTTTTGTTTGTTTATCGGCTCATACTTTGTTTTTAAAAGCATTTCATAGTAAAGAAAAACAACACAACCATTATATAGCTTGGAGTAAAAGATCATATACTGCAAGCTAAGGAGATTGATCATAGTTGGATCAAATGAAGACTCTCACTATCAAGCCAACTAATTAAAAATATGAGCTGCCAGTAGCATACACACACCAAGAAGAAGTTTACAGTTTGTTATGTACCCTCACTACTAAATTTCGTCAACGCTTAGTTTTCTTTTTTCGTCATGGTTGGATGGGGCACGACCATTTACATAAGAAAAAAAACAATATCATGCATATTAAAAAGCAAATTCAACGAAGTCTAAGACAAAATTTTTTTAATTATAAGGGTAATAAAGAAAAAATTTTAATTGCTGTCAAATTGCTTTTGAATTTGTGTAATATTGCTTCTCCCTAGGTAAATAGTCGTGTTCCATCCAACCATGATGAAAAAAGAAAACTAAAGGTTGATGAAATTTCGTACTGTGGGCACATGACAAACTGTAAATATTTTAAAATTTAAACAATTCTGTCTGTGTACACTATTGGCAGCTCATGTTTTAAGCTAGTTGTTCCGTATGTGAGAGCATTCATTTGATGCGACTATGATGAATCTGCTGAATTTGCTGTAGCATGGTCTTCAATTGTTAGTTAATACGAAAAAAGTCAGGAAAAGACACCTAGTGTCGAATTCTTTTACAAAAACCAAAACTCTGTTTACGAAAAATATGCACAAAAAAATCGTATATATAAACAATGCAGATCAAAAAATCTTACGAAAAATAATAAAAGTTATAGAACATAACTTCTATATTATTTTTCAAGTTGGGTGTGGGTGTGGGTGTGGGGTGTGGGTAAAGAGGAAAATGATATCCACACCCACATCCACCCACACCCACACCCACACCCACACCCACACCCACACCCACACCCACACCCACACCCACACCCACCCACCCAGTCAAGCAAAAAAATCAGGAAACGCGTTTAAACGCTATAGAAATCGTGAACGTTTTCGGATGCTAATCGCGGTTCCCGTTTGTGACCCAGAAACGCCCAAAAAAAATTAACATTAAAACGACAAACTATTCAGCAGCGTTTGATATTCGGTAAGAAAAACGCCTACTTTTTTTCTGAATAAACTGTAGACAAAAACTAGACGCGTACTTATCCATGTTTCTTTGACGTTTGTGGATGCCAGTCGGGAACCGCGATTGTCAGCGTAACCCGACCATCCATATGGATCGTGAAAACGCTCAATTTCACCTTACAATTAACTTTACCTGGTTTATATGCTATATAATTTCAAATGTATACTCATCTTCATTTTCAACACACGTCTGGCTCACAAGCAGCAACCACGATTGTTATCATGCAACAGGTAATAAAAAAAGCATCAAAATGCTCCCTTGTCGACACCCATACATTCTAAGGCATACCTGACGCACATCTTCGAAAAAGTCCTCACAGGTAATTAACCCACATAACTAGCTGACCATCGACAACCACAAATGCCATCTAAATGCATCGCTCCTCCATTGTAGTGGCCCCTCAAATTGGATATGATTCCGATCTAAGCATACAGAAATAAATATTATATTAGATTTTAAATCGATTATTACATACCTTTACTATTCTACTTGATCTCGAAATCGATCTAAATATAAAGAAATAGATATTGTTTTAGTTTCTAAAATATATTATTACATACCTTTATCATTGCACTTAATCTCGAATTTGATCTAAATATAAATGAGAAAATATAATATTACTTTCTAGAATAGATGGTTACATACCTTCAGCATTATACTTGATCTCAAACTCTATCTAAAAATCGATAAATCAATATTATATTAGTTTCTAAAACAGATTATTAAATACTTTTATCATTATACTTGATCCCCAATACAATCTAAATGCAAATGAAAAAATATAATATTACTTTCGAAAATACATGGTTACATACTTTCAACATTGTACTTCATCTCGAATTCGATCTAAAGATAAATGAATAAACAATATATTAGTTACTAAAATAGATTATTACATACCCACAACATTGTCTTGATCTTAAAATTCGATCTAAATATAAATAAGTAAATATAATATTAGTTTTGAAAACACATTATTACATACCGTCAACGTTGTACTTCATCTCGAATTCGATCTAAAGATAAATAAATAAATATTATTTTAGTTTCCAAAATAGATTATTACATGTCTTCAACATTGTACTTCATCACAAATACGATCTAAAGATAAATAAGTAAATATTGTATTAGTTTCTAAAATACATAGTTACATACCTTTATCATTGTACTTCATCTCGAATTCGATCTAAACATTAATAAATAAATATAATATTACTTTCGAAAATATATTATTACATACATTCAACAGTGTACTTGGTCTCAAAAATCGATCTAAATAGAAATAAATAAATATAATATTCGTTGCTAAAATAGATTATTACATACCTTGAACATTGTACTCAATCTCAAATTCGATCTAAAGATAAATAAATAAGCATTATATTAGTTCCTAAAATACATGGTTACATGCCTTCAACAATGTAGTTGATCTTAAAA